CCAGGTTTGGGTGGGCTTTGAGGTGATGGATGCCTGGCTAGAGGCAGTGGGTCAGGGGAGGTGGGCCTTGAGGTGTTGGATGCCTGGCTAGGGGAAGTGGGTTAGGGGAGGTGGGCCTTGAAGTTTCTTAGCCCCACCCCACCCTGTCTACTCTTCACTCCCTGAATGTGGATGCAGTGTCACCAGCCACCTCATATTCCCGCCGCCCTGCCTTCACTGCTGGGATGGGCTGGATCCCCTCACACCGTAAGCCAAAAGAAGCCCTTCTTTCTGGTTTCCTGTCAAGTATTTGATCACAGTTGGACCTCCAGAACTGCAAACAGAAAAAATGAAGACCACTCCGAGGGTCACCGGAAGCCTGAGAAGATGTGTTGGTGAAGGTGCCTCTCCGTTAATGAACTCAGTTACATATTTCTGAGCACCTACCATATTATTAGGCCTGTGTGAAAAACTGAGACTAACGCAGTAAACATGACCCAGAATCCCATCCTCTCGAGCCTGTAACCCAATGTGTCGCTTGACACACATTAGTGCAATCAGTAAATGGCAGTGTAGCAGTTATGACAGACGAGACCCTGGACTAGGGTTCAGGGGTGCTGGGTGTTGGTGCCGAGACCCTGGTGGAGTGACTTGGGAGAAGAACACGGATTCTCTACTTCCTTGTCTCCTGTGGCCGCTGTCCTAGGCAGGACAGGCAGCTGCTTCCAGAGCTTCCAGTCTCCAATGCCATGTCCACAGTGGCCTTCATCCTCTCCAGGGGACGTCACAGTTGGGCGAGGGTGACAAAGTTAAGCAGGAAGTTTGAGCCCCTTTCTCCTGGGGACAAGGTAGATAGAACACCCCCAGGGTGGAGTGTTGGTCCTGCAGGTTGTCCCTTCTTCCCCCTTTCCCTTATACCATGGCTCAAGCCAAGGAGGCTGCGGGCCATTGCTAAGAGGGCAGTAGGACTGGAGCACAACCGTTCTGTGTCCTGTCTATTTGTTCAGAGTGACACTTCAGGAACTGAAGGGGGGAAACAGCCATGACAGGGTGGCGGCGGGGCCCTCTGTCTTCCTCGGGAGTGCAGCAGCTCCGCAGGCAGACCATCCTTGCTAGCACCCATTTTCCCAAACTCGGGCCTATGGGATGGCAGCAAGGCACAAAATTATTTGTGGCCACTGTCCAGTGTCCTATCTAACTGAAGACGTGTGTTTCAACATAGCTAGTGGGAAAAACATTTTAAAAACAGAGGCTGCCGTAGGCTTCCTTGTCCCTGAAATTGTATGTCTGAAGCCTCAGCCCCCAAGTAATGACATCTGGAGGCAGACTGTGGCGGCAGGGTTGGGGAGCTGGTAGGTAGGATCAATGTCCTTATAAAGAAGAGAAGCCAGAGAAGCCATCTCTCTCCCTACTCCATGCAGACAGCTAGCTGTAAGGTGGCTGTCTCCAAGTCAGGAAGCGAGCACTTACCTACCAGAAGCAAATCCATGAGCATCTTTGGCTTGTATTCTTAGATCTGCAGAACTCGGGAATAACCGTGTGTGGCTGAAGCCATGCAGCAGCACACCCAAAGACACGTGGTGCCTCAGTGCCTCGTCTCTCACCTCGTCCTTTCTGGATTTCTTGGAATATATTTTAGAATCACAGAAAACAAACTCCTCTTCAGATGTGAGCCCCTGCCCCAGGAAGAGTGAATTTACCAGTGTAAACTGTGAGGTGCCGGTTAGTTTGTTACTTGTTATGTTTTCTTTTGTTTTTGTCAATTTGGCACAAGGTGGGGGAGGTCATCTGGAAGAGGGAATCCCAGTTGAGAAAAGTTGATCTGCAGGCATGTCTGTGGGGCATTTCCTTGATTAATAATGGATGTGGGTGGTGCCATCCCAGGGCTGGTGGTCCAGTGTTGTATAAGAAAGCAGGCTGAGCAAGCCATGGAGAGCAAGCCAGTCAGCAGCACCCCTCCATGGCCTCTGCTTCAGTTCCTGCCTCCAGGTTCCTGCCCTGCTTCAGTTCCTGCCCTGACTTCCTTCAATGATGGGCTAGGATCTGTGCAGGGAGGTCAAATACATCTTTTCCTCCCCAGGTTGTTTGGATCATTGTTATTATCACAACAACAGAAAAGTAACTAATACTGTGAGTCTTATCAATGTCTCCCACGGGTGCTGTTAGCTCCCACAAGTGAGAAGAAATACAACCATGCGTGTTTTTATTTTTGTTGATAAAAGGCTAGATCACAGACAGACAACAGTCACCCTCTCCTTTGTTTTAAGCCACTAGGTTTTGTTTGTTTGTTTTTGTTTGGCAAGATACTAAGAAGGGGCCATGAGTGACCTTACAAACTGTGCTTTGAGTAACCATCTGTCCCGCTCCCACCTGAGACAAGGCTGGTTTTAGCGCTGAGTAACCGTACCGTGGCACCCTCCTCCACCCTGGGCAGAATGGATGGCTGTCTCATCCTGCTGCCAGGTCTTCCAGGCTGTGATGACATGTTAGTACCACCTGTCAGGTCGTCACCTGGACACAAGCTAGTTAGTGCACGCTTTCTAGTTTGTACCTATAGCACGGAGTTCTGATCCCAGGAGGAATCGAAACATGGACAGAAACCCAGGTTGGCTTTCATTGGAGTCTGAAAGAACCACATGAAAACTGGCCGGAAAACATTCTCGTTAGAAACAATGCAGATTTTTTTTCCCCTCAGATCTTTATTTCTACACATTCTTGTGACAGTTGCCTTTGTAGGGAACAGGTTAGCAAAATAAGCTTCTTAGATAATTCTAAATAAACACTTTAAACAAACTATCAAAACAACCAGTGGAAAGCCGAGAAACATTCAGTGTCTTGTAGTCTCAACAATAACAGACTGGGAGAGACAGGGTGTGTCCCCACCCTCCCTGCCCTACCACAGTGTTGATTTGACTCCAGAGTGACTGCTTTCAAAAACCTCAGGGAGCGTCGGGGTGGCGTGCTACAATGTCACAGAGAAGATCCCTGCCCTTGTGACCTAGTAAGCAATGACAGCTGAGGACTCCTCCGTCCTGGTTAACACTTCAAACAGAACACTGCCTTGCTGCGCATTCCAGCTTAGCGATGAAAATTAATATTTAATACTAAGACATCTGTTTTTTCAGAACAAGTAGAGGTGGCCGTGATATTTATAACCTGTTCATGCTAGCATCCATGTGTAAGTTCATGGACTAAGGCAATGGCATCAGCTAAGCCCACTTAGTCTCATAATAAACTCCACATTGTCACTCTGTCTCCTGTCATTACAGCAAGGCTGTCACCTCGACCACATTCTAATAAATCACTCAGACTTGCTGATTACAGTAAAAAAAAAAAAAAATCCATCAGTGCATCCCTGACAGTATTAGAAATGACAAGTTAAGGCAGTAACTTCTGTATCAGGCTGACACCCAGGAGTTCATCTTTACAGGTAACAAAGGCTTAAACATTCCATTCACACCTGTTTCCTTCCTGTACCCCAATGCAAGGTGTTTGCAAAGCAGATCACCTTAAGCCATGCTGCGTTTCTCTTCCCCTTAGCAATGAAAAAAACTCACTCTGTTTCACCCAGCTGCTGGAACCAGAGGGGGAGATGTACCCCATGAGACACACAGGGAGGGAGACCCTCCTGCACCCTGCTCCTCCCCTCCCTGAAGATGGCATCACCTCGGATCCTTCTTCCTCAGTGCCCTACAGGCCATTCTGTGGCCTGCGTTCAAAAGCCCAGCTCAGACATATCAGAGCTGCTATTCTGCGCTCACAGAATACTGCCCTGTCAAGGTCATTTTTATGTGATGCCGAATCTTCATCGATGGGAGTTTTAAAAACAATATCCATGTGTAAAAGGACAATTCCAAATGAGCACACTCATCTTATTAAACCCAGTGGTGCACAGCTTCAGGTCCACAATTGGTGGTCCATGAGGGTCGAGGTTTTGTCCTCTGTCAGAGCCTGTCCTGGGTGCCTCAACGCTGCACTGCATGGGAAGCACCTGGTTCCTTCCGCCAAACACTTAAATCCCCCAACCCTCATGATTTCTGTTCAAAGTGCAAAAAGCTTTTCTGAGGTTTGTATATGCTGCTGCCTTTTTATCCTTCATTCTAGGAGCTCAGAAAGACCTCCAGTCCATGAGAGGTGAGTTTAGAATCACTTGTTTGGGAAGCACTAGCTACTTAGGGCTTCTATGTTCCTGCCAGGACCAATTCGCCAGTCCAGCTGCAGTCAAAACATCTGTGCTGTCTTCACTGCCGACACAGCTGCCTCTTATCAGGGAGAGTGAATGTTCTGGTCATAAGGGCTACAGCACGGAGAGGCCGAACACAGCCCCTAGCCCAGTGGTTCTCAACCCTCTAACAGTGCGATCCTTTAATACAGTTCCTCGTTTTGTGGTGACCCCCAACCATAAAATTATTACTGTAATTTTGCTACTGCTATGAATCATAATGTAAGTATCTGTGTTTTCTGATGGTCTTAGACAGCCCCTGTGAAAGGGTCATTCGATCCACATGTTGAGAGTCACTGCTCTAGCAGGGGGTAGCTACTCCCAGAAAAGTGTTCTGCTGTCTCAGCTGAGTACTGTAAAGACCCGAAATGATGCCATGAGCAGTTCTCAGTTGGCCATGCCTGTGGCCATGCTGGCAAATCTACGATCAGGACAGTCACATGGATCTGAAGCATCAATAAGACCGCAGCTGGGCTTTCCATAAATAACTCTAAGCCCTCTTTTTAAAAATGTTCTGTACATAGAAAGCAATTCATTCAAACTGAAAATAATTTTAAATCTCTGATCATCTAGTAGATTTTTTTTTCAAACATAAAGTCTTGCTTGTGCTTTCTATAATTTTTTTTATTTTTTGGTTTTTGAAACAGCATTTCTTTGTGTATGCCTGACTGTCCTGGAACTCCCTTTGAGGATCAGGCTGGCCTTGAACTCACAGAGATCTGCCTGCCTCTACCTCCCAAGTATGTGATTAAAGGCATGTGCCCTGCCTGGCTAAGATTTATTTCTGTTTTTATTGGTGTGTGTGTGTGTGTGTGTGTGTGTGTGTGTGTGTGTGTGTGTGTGTGTGTGTGTGTGTAGGTATGTGCACATGAGTGCAGGTGCCTACAGAGGCCAGAAAGGACATCGGATCCTCTGGAGCAGGAGTTACAGGCGGTTGTAAGCCCCCTGATATGGGTGCTGGGAACTGAACTCAGGTCCTCTGCAAGAGCAGTACAAGCTCTTAACCATTGAGCCATCTCTCCAGCCCTTCTATAATTTCTTTTTGAAAAGACTTAGGAAGGGGAAAAACTCTATGTATTTTCCTTCCCAGTGTTAGTCTACCGTTGGATATTAGCACATGCAAATAAAGCCTACCCTTAAGTATATTATTTTAATCTGGTTAATGTTAATGTTAAAGTGTCTTGCTTACAGATAAACAGTAGAACAGCAGTAAGTCACGCCTGTGACCTGATGCAAAACTCTACAAACTCTCTCCATATGTGGAAAGAAAGCTTTAGAGAAAGGAGCTTTTTAAGACTAAAAAGATGAAAAGTGTCTGCAAAAGTCTCAGCTCAAACGTAAAATCTGAAAGCCTTAAGAGGCCAGAGTTGCTCTCAAACCTTTACAGATGAATTCTAAAGCAACCTGACTCCGCCTCAGGTTCTCTAAATAAAGGTATTGATAACCAGCCTCCCCCTCCCCCACACAATTAGTAAAGGCTTTGTATATTGGTGTGTTAAAGGCTGTGTGTAGTGGTATGTTTCCAAAGCGCCATTTAAGACAAGATCGTTCCGCTTATCAAAACCATCCATCGCCCTCTTCCTCCTCCTCGTTGTCTAGATAGACAAGGGCGACTTTCTTCTCATCTGAGGCCACTGACCTTTGGTCTACCATTCTCTGCGGCTGCACGGTCTTGTCAAATCCAGCCTGCTCCTCGCCTTTCTCTCCGCGGGTCTGGTGTCCATCCCCAGCGGAGGCCTGAGAGCTCATGCTGGTGACCTGCTCAGTCCTACTGTGGGCGATTCTCCAGCCACCACGGTCAGACACACTGTGAGCTTCCACTTCTGACCCTGCGTCTCGGGTCCAGCTGCGGATCGCCCTTGTGTTACTCACATCCATCTGAAAAGTAAATGAAGTTTCTTTGGGCCCTGGTGCAATGTGGCTTAGTGTGCTGCTGTCCCCTGCTTGCCCACCGAGCTCAGGGGACGCCACTGAACCATCGAGTACAAATGTTTTAGACATGGGTCCATGGATGACAATGTGTTCAGAGGGGCCCTTCTCTGTAGGGCCTATCTGAATGTGCCTAAAGGACCTGCTGGTGCCTGCTGTCACCTCTGCTCCTGTGTCCCCCACACTGTCCGGAAGGGACTCAGAAACGACCCTCTGGAATGTGTTCTCTTTGCTCCTCAGGATTTCTCTACCTGAGGTGAAACTGTGAGTGGCCTGGGTCATCCCTGCTGAGCCCTCCACAAGAACCGTGCCTTCTGAGTTCCTAAATTCCAAGGTCTGTGGAGCTATCAGCTTGGAGGTTTGGTGCCTCTGAGGCCCAATGTCAACGTGTTGGATGGATGTACTCCTCCCTAGAGACACTCTGGTGTGCTCAGAACCCTCTTCTCCTCCCCACTCCACTTTGTCTGGGATGGGAGCTATGAACTGGATTTCCTCCCTGAACCCTTCTTTGGGGCCTAACTGGAGATGCCTAACAAAAGTCTGGGTACCCACTGACTCCTCCGTTGCAAAATTACTACCAGCCTGGGCTGCCCCAGAAATAGGACCCAGAAAACGAATTTCCTTTTCAGCATGAAACTGCTCAGAGCCAGACATTCTGTGGTTCCTGGATATGTCTGCTTCTACAGCCAGTGCTGCTGGGTGAGGCTCTTCTGTGTCTCCTGCTTCCCGCCAGGTAGGCACAGAGCCTCGGAAGGTGACTTCTGTGGACACGCGACTTTGACGGGGACCCAGTGTAATGTGCCTCACAGAGCGGCTGGCTCCCTCAGAGCTGACTGCCTCACTGAGGTCCTCACTTACCTCCACCACCTGTGCGGTGGGTCCTCCGTAGGACACCTGCTCAGTTCTCCACATTTCAGTGGGGCCTAGTCTAACATGCCTCACAGACTGGCTTATATCCTCCAGCGTGTGAGACTGCACAAAGCCCGTTGGGCTGGTGACTTCAACGGTGGCCGACACTGGGCCCTGGGTTACACGCTGATCTGAGCTGGAAGGGGTCCAGCCAGCATCATCCCTCTCAACAGATGGGCTATACAGTTCCCTGGTGGCCCAGCGCTTGAAGAGAATGCCCCCAGCAGGCACCTCCTCTCCATCTTCCCTGTCTGGGCTTCTAGGCATTGGGCTGGAGCGCTTGGTCAAGCTCTCTCTTACCACAGACTCCACAGCCCTCTCTATTTCTCCAGCTTCATCCCTGCTCAACTCCTCCAGGTCTAACTGGTCAGCATCCACCGTCTGCGAGAGGTTGACTTCAGCCATCAAGGTCACAGAACCAGGAGCAGAGCTCTCGACCTTCTTTACATCCACTGAGACACTCCCCGGCTCTCCTTGATCCTGTCTGGTCAGAGCAGACAGCTCCTCCTTCATGCGCTCCGGCAAGGTTTCCTCCAGCTGCCCGATGACCTCCACCAGCTGGTGCCGGGGCTCATTGGAGAAGACCCCCTTGATGGAGGTATGGAACTCATGCGGTATTTTGATTTCTTTCTCAATGACTGTGGGTTCTGCATGCAGTTCACCACTAGCTTCTTCCTTTAAGTGAGCAGAACCAACGGCACCCCCCAGGGAAGGCGCTGGAATCTCCAGGACCTTCACATGCTTCTCTTCCCCCATGTCATCTCTCCTTTTCCTTCTCCAAGTGCCCTGCACAATTTCATCTTGCCATGAGTACCGGATGGTGGACTCTTCCTCTATGTGGATTTGTCCATACACTGATCCATCATCTTCTCTGTCATGCCCCCCGGGGTATTCATCTGGGGTAGACACAAAGTAACTCTGCTCTCCCTCTGAGTCACCACCTGCCTCCGTCACTTCTTCCACGTGAGGGATGCTCCCCTGGGGCTGCTTGGTCCTTTGATGTTGATGCATTGAGAACTGCACATGGGTCTCTCCATCACCATCCTCTTCCTCGACAAACCCCTTGGGGCCGGGAGACACATCATCGGCTTCTTCCACTTGGAAGGGGGTAGAAAACTCCGTTTTCCCACCACCTGTGTAGCTCACGGGCTCCTCCACAATCTCCACGTTTACGACTTTGGCTCTCCCCTCCCTTCCTTTCAGACCAACGTTGATCATCTCTCCAATCATCTTCTCAGCTGACTCTCCTTTCAGCCTCACTTCCTTGACCTCCTTGCTTAAAAGGTATTCCAGGCCAGCTTTGTCAGACACATCAACGTCTTCTGTCAGCTTAGACTCCACAACAATTTCTGTCTTGGTTTTCCTACTGCCAGGGAGTTCTTGCCTGTCCACGTAAGTGACCTTTGTGTCTGGGAAAGAACTGGCATTCTCTTCCGCCTCTGGGGACTGCGTGAACTGCTTGAGGATGGTGGTGACGATGTTTTCTGCTACGGTCTCTGTCACAGAATCACTTGGCGGGGAGCTGGCGGCGTCCCGGGTGTCCAACCAGAACATGGCCTCTTTGGTTTCCGCCCCTCTTCCCTTACCGTTGCCAGCGTCCTTCCTCCCGGGTGACTGCAAGCCTTTTGTGGACACTTCTGGGCTGCTGCCCCGGGATGCTTCTAGATGGATGGGTACTTCCCTTTCCTTCACACCTCCCTCCTGAAGTGATCTCTTCTCTTTGAGCTCGTCCCTCCTCTGCTGGCTTTCTCTCGTTCTCGCGTCTCTGTCTAACTTGGTCAGTTCTTCCCACCTCAGGTTTCTTTCTTCTGAACCCTTCTCTTTAGAATCAAACCTTTTCTCTTCTGGCTTTAGTTTGATGACCCCTGATCTGTCCCTTTCTTGTTCCCTGGAGGCTTTCACTTCTAGTTTCTTTCCCAAAATGACAGTTCTCTCATTTGACCGAGCGCTGTTCCCGGCACCTGCCGCCACGTTGTCCCGGTGATCTTTGTGTGACTCTCTGGAGATAATGGACTCGGTGGCCAGTCGTATGGGGGTGTCCCTGGTGCCTTCAACTTTGGATCGATCAGGGAATGTTTTCACTTGAGCATCAGTGTTTCTCAGATGGCCATGAGTTGGGGCGCCAGGTCGGGGACTGGCTTGACTGTTGACAGTTTTCTCAAGGGATTTTTGCTGCAGGGTTGTAGCTGAGGAGGAATACCCGGAGGTCAGGAACCCCCTTCTGGTAGTGCTCCCAACAGTTGTGGTTGTCTCTGAGTCAAGGTGCCCTGGCCTGTTAGAATACAGAGCAGAGCTGTGATTTACAGCTGCCCAAGGTGTTTTTTGCCTTGGAAATAGATTTTTCTCATTTTTCCTCTGTAACACTGAGCTGGTATAGCGATAGGATGTGCTTCTGGACTCTGTGGAAATCGAACAAACAGTTCATTTAGATGACAGGCATCTTTTTTTTTTTTTCACCATAAAAGCACTGCTGTAGGTCATATCCCATGTTAGTATAAAATATACTGTTATTACAGGAAGGACCTTTTGAAGACAATACTTGTATTCTCTACATTATCTTTGGGTTGTTTCAGAACGCTCGTCACAATAAAATACGGCCCTACAAATACCTCTGCCTACTGCTCTTCTCCAGCCGCTGATCTTAGAATATTGTTCCAGCTTAAGAGGACTGTCAAATGTATGACTGTAAAGTGTGCCGATGTGCCAGAGAGGTCAGAGACACTGAGTTTTCTGGTTAAAATTTCACGATATTATGCTACTTCAGAATCATTCATTTCGAGTTTGTTGAGGTAAGTTTACGATTTCAGCAGGGAAAAGCTCTATCACTACAAAGTGTAGATTACTGGATACCAAACAGCATACCCCTCCACCTCAGATGCTCTTGTTTTATCAGTTCCTGTGCTGAGCCACGGGTATTGAAGACTTTAGATTTCTAAGCCGATCTATATGTTTATACTTGTCAAGGTATAGTTTCAAAACCAATCCAGTTGTCAGAGATCCCCCGATCCTGACGGCATCTTCCTGGAGTTAGCCAGCCTGAGGGCTTCTTGTTTTACTCAGGCTCATGCTCAGACAGTACGACCCTTCAGGTGCACAGACTCCACCAGGGTAACTGGCTCGCTGGAGTGGCAACTGAGTTAGAACAAGACCAAAGCACCATCCACTCCGAGAGCATCTCTTAGTGTCCACTGCACCCCAGCTGGCTGGGCACCTCCCTACCCCTCCCTCATGGCAATGGAGCCTAGAGGTCTCACTGAGACAGGTTCCCAAGATACAGAGAAAGAGACCAGGCTGGAACATGTTTACAAATATTTCTTTTTCAGGTTATTATTAGACTGATCCTAATCTAGAAACCCCAGAAGACAAACCCCTAAGGTCAATAAGAGATATGGAAGCTCACAGGCTAGTTTTAGGTCTCTTGTGTCATAGGAAGCAGGCAACATTATCTCAGGGTACAATGTAAAAGGCAACTAAGTGCACTAATAAGTATTGATCAGATTACTAGGCAATCATCTGCAGGACTATTCCATAAATAGTTAATGAGTAGCTATACTCTGCAGGAAATAGAACTACTTATAAGCATAAAGGCTGAATCACAACTAGTCACCTTTACTCCACAGCATCTTTCTTTAACATAATACCTAAGCATTAGGAACATTTAGTTTATAAATGTGAAGTACGCATATTGTTCAAGAAGCTTGAAGAACAATGGATGAGTAAATCAAGTTAGCAGAGACGCCTCCCCGCCTTCCTCCTGACTCTAAAGGCAGGCAGGGCCAGACAAATATAAGCAAGTCCCACACTTAGAAGGCTAGTCCTCCCAGGAGTTTGGTCCTGGGCCTTTTATTTCTCTCTTCTAACTTCAGGTTATGTGTTAGATTTTAGTAAACCCTGAAATCTGGTGGGTGAACAGCTCTTCTTTTCTAGATGTCGGGTGCTAACTGATATCAAGCAGGCCAGTCATTGATCCCATGCAGGGATCTCTCTATTTTTTTTTTTTTCAGGCTTACTCTCAAAATGAGGACACAGGCTTGCTGGCTGTTACCTGAAGACAAATTCCTTCTAGTCATAGATGATTAGAACCAAAGTTCTAAATCAAGTTTGGACCTGCCAAAGCTGAGCTTGGCTAACAGGAGCAAGGAAGACTTAAACCACACTGAGGAAGGTACATGGTGGGACTCGCAGGTGATGAGTTCCGAAGGTGCCCAACCTACGGGCTCTACGCCCACACACCTGATTAACTAAAGGTCAAAACTATTTCAAGGGCTGGGAAGATGGCTCAGACGTTAAGAGCACTGGCTGTTAACTTCCAGAAGTCCTGAGTTCAAATCCCAGCACCCACATGGTGGCTTGTAACCATCCATAATGAGATCTGGTGCCCTCTTCTGTCCTGCAGACAGAAGACTGTATACATAATAAATAAATAAATAAATAAATAAATAAATAAATAAATAAATAAATAAGACTGTTTGAAATAATGTATCCACACTGAACACATGTAGACTGATCTCTCCTCATTCCCCCCTAAGTAACACAGTGTGCCAGCAATTGGCATGGCACACACATTGTACTACACACTGCAAGTCATCTAGAGAGGATCTGAAGTCTGTAGGAGGATGTGCAAATCCTATAACATTTTAGACAAGGAACTTGAGCATCTGTGACTCGCTTATGAATAGATGTCCTGGCGACAGTCTCCCCCAGACACCCAGGAAGACTTTATGCTGAGCATTCCATGTATCTTTTAACCTGCCATTGCTTAGCCAGATTCTCTTTTGATATTCAGCAGGCTTAAATATTTCATTCAAAAGTTATCTTATAGATGTTTAAGGTCTTTCAAGTGAGCATACTGAGCTCTCTTGTGCCCGATCTACTGCTATAGGAAAGAGAGCCCCAATCTGAAGGCTTGGACCCAAATAAGACCGGACACCTTCCGGACTTGCCACACCAACCTAAGGTGGCAGGGTAGTGTCATTGACCTGGCAGGGTTACAGTTTCCAGAGTGCTGGCTGCATGTTGTCCAAAATAACAATTTTGTGTGTTAGTTGCAGCCATAACTGTTTGGTCTGGAAAAAGAAAATATGCCCCTTCTAAGGATATAATGAACAAGTGCACATCCTTACCACCTTTCAGAAGGCCTGGATTAGGTGCTTCTCCTCAGCTAGAAAGTACCTCAAAATACTGTCTACACAAGCAGATAAGTCCAGTGAGTACTTCCAAGGTCATTCTGATTCACATTGTAATTTAAATTACGTCCCTTTCGACTAAAATCTACTTGGTACTTAAAAGTACGATGAACTATTTGTTATCTGTGAAGCAAATAGTTTGTTTTCCTAAACCCTCTTCCAGGTAAGTTGAACCCTCCTCCCTCTGTGGAGTGGGCAGTTCAGATAGGAAGCATTTTAACATTACAAATACAGTCCCTAATATTTACCTTGTGGCATGTTTTCAATGTTCTTAGCCCAGATCAGTATCTCCGGATTGCTTTCTCCTTCCAACAAGGCCCTGTGAAAGTTATTTTTAAAAAATAGTTTATTATAGAATGAAAGAGAGAAAAAAAAAACGGTTTTCATCAAATACGTTGGGTAACATCAGAAGGCCTTGCATTTTAAGACCTGTGCCTGGAGGTGTGGCTTGGGTAGGGGCTGTGCCAGGATGGTACCCTGCTCTGTGGTCATGCCCGATACCCAGCATAGCATCTGCTGCATGACATGCTCGGGTGATAGCGGCTGAAACAAGAAGGTGCATGGGCTGAACTCCAGAAATACCAGAGAGTTACGTCCTTCTAGGAAGCCTCCCCACCCCACCCCCCCAAAAAAGAAAGAAAACTTTTCCTGTCCTAGGCAAAGTGAGGCACACACCAAGTAGTGCTAGGGAGACTGATGAAGACGGGCAGGCCAGGGCTTAGCTTCTTTCGCCAGCAGAGAGGCCTAGGCCAGTACTTCACCCAAGTCACAGTGCCCCAGAACAATTGAGCCCCCCACCCCACCCCACCATGTACACACACAGGAGTCACGGAAGTGGGAGGTGGATGGAGAGTGGACTAGGGACAGAGCAGGGAGCAGGAACAGACACTTTGCTATGGGGTGCCTTTCTGTACGCTGGGAATATGTGTGGCTCTCATTGGATAATAAATAAAGCTGGTTTGGCCTATGGCAAGAAAGCTTACAGCCAGGCAGGAAATCCAAGCAGAGGTACAGAGAGAAGAAGGGCAGAGTCAGGAGAGACTCCAGCCAGCCGCCACCAAAGGAGCAACAAGACGCCAGCAGACCAGTAATGCCACAGCTACGTGGCAGCATACAGATTTATAGAAATGGGTTAATTTAAGATGAAAGAGCTTGCTAGCAAGAAGCTGAAGCCATAGATCATACAGTTTATAATTAATATAAGCCTCTGAGTGATTATTTTATAAGCGACTGTGGGACCTCGGATGGGAGAGATTCATCTGGACTGCTGGACAAGGAAGGACTGGAGACATTTCCATCTACAGACACTGTCTGTAAATAGGAAGCTGGATGGAAGTTGGCATTTCTTTCTTTCTCTTTTATAATGCTGAGGATCAAACCTAGGGTCACACATATGCTAGGCAAGTACTTTGCCACAGAACTGCAACTGCTGAACTACGTGGACATCTCAGAGATGAAGGTGAGCATGTAGAAAAGCAGCCCCATGGGCATCCCAGAGTGCCATGCTTCACCTCCTTTAACAGGATACAGTGGAAAACACCCGGCTAGGTTTCACTCCAAATTTCTAAGATAACAGTCTTCATTAAGTTGTCATTGGCACCTGCCACCTCAGAGAGGCACTGAGGGTTATCATCTGTGGAGTGCCAATCAGCTGGTCACTTCCAGAGACCTACAGGACTGCTAGAAGCTGCAGATGCAACAGTTGTGTGGTTGCTAGAGCAACGTGTGACATCACCAACCCCAGCTCCCAGAGATACAGCGCACATGGCAAAGGCTGATGAGAACCACAGCCACATGGAAACACTGATGATAGAACCCAGGGCCAGCAGGGAAATAGAGCAGGGAGCCCGGATCCCAGCTGGGCGTGGCATTTGAGGGAACTACACCAAGGTTCGCGTCTACTGAGTTAAACATGGCGATCCCCACAGTGGCAATGAGAACCCTCTGGCAACTAGGAGAAAAGAAGCACAGGGGATCTGCCCGAGGTCCACACTGGTGGGCTAACCACAGAAGCCGCCACTGAAGTACACATGCCAAGAACACCAAGGCCAGAGCTGAAGCCCTTCCACTCAGGATGAAGGCCAGGAAACAGGACACCAATCCATTAATCCCCCGCCCTCATGACCAAGCAGTTTAGCTTCCAGGAACACAAACAGCTTCCATCATCAAAAAAAAAAAAAAAAAAAAAAAAAAACCCTCTGAGTACTGTATAAGAGGAAAGTTTAGGGGCAAAGTCAGATTCCGTGGGTCTACATCCTGGGGTTACCGCAGCAGAGAGGCATTCCACAATTGAGGGCCACAGCAGGGTCTAGAGACAAGGCCAAGTTTAGACTGTACAAGCTTCACAGGCCACAGGGCCAGACATAGACCCAGGCTGCCAGACTCAAGCCAGAAGGAGCCTTTGGGAGTTCAGGTCAGGAGAAAATATTGCTGAGGGGCCCAGGGGACCAATGACCGGGAAAAACTATGCCTTCCTCCACCCCTCAAAGGATAATGGTTCTGTCTCTCCTCCAGGGGAAAACCAAAGCTTTATCCAGCTTTACTGAAGACAGGGCCAGCACAGACTACAACACTTTCACCTCCCATATCCACTTACTCACATAGCTCTGATGCCCTGAACACTAGACTGGGCCTTGCCCAGCTCCCTCTCTGAGGAAAACAGGCCAGAGTGAAGACAGCATCTTCAAGGGCCCACAGAACACCCAAAGACAGAACTCGAACCTATACCCTCACCTTCCAGTTGCTAGGCTTCCCTATGCCAGAACATTATGCCCTCTATCTATATAGACCCTCTGTACCACATTGATAACAGCAAATTCAACCTCTCGGTAATTTTGTCCCAATTATGAATCCCTCATCTGTGCCCTAGTTGCTGACTGAATCCTAGAAGGCAGAGGCACCTATCACCTTGTAAGCACCCAATACAGAGCTTGAGACGGACAGTTGGCCCCTGGGTTCTCAATTCTTCCCGCTTGAACCTCAGTGACTGCACTGGACCTTAACCTGTCCACACAGCTCCCGGGACTAATATGGCAGAGTCAGAGACTACACTAGCAGGGAGATTTCCTGTGACCCCTTCAAAGAGCAGCTGAAGAGACAGGCTTGTAGAACTTTAAGAAATGTGGAGAGTGCTCTCTGGGGCTCCCACCGAACCTGGTTATTTTAAGAGCAGGGCAGGAAAGCTGCCTCCAGGCCACTGAGACTGTGAGAATGCCAACCCCCTGAGTCACCGGCTATATTAGAGAGCACTTCATAGAGTTCCACAGGCTGGTTGCCTCTCCAATAGGAAAACAGGCAAAGAAGCAGGAGACCAGTCCCTGGCCTCATTAGGAGCCCTGCACAATCCACGATGTGAAAGTGAACTGTAATGTGGCCTCTGGCCCCGCTCCAGGCATTAATGGGCCACCCAGCTTCCCAACCAGCCCGTTACAGGGCTGCTTGTCTGGGATGGATGGTCTGAATGGAATCTCAGGGCATAGATGCTAGTGGGCACAAGGCTAATGAGCAATACATCTCCCACAATTGAGGATAAGATGAGGGAGAAGGACTCAAGGGGACACTTCCAGGAGTGACACCCATGAGGAGCCTGCTGTGGTCCTGTGGATCTGTGCCTGGTTCATATGGTGCTTCCAGGCAGGTGTGGAATGGGGGGGGGGCAAGAAGAAAGCAGAGTCACAGACCCTCAGAGCTGCCCCCTCCAGCCTGCTCACTGTGCATAGCTGAGCTCCACGGGTGTAGGAAGGATGACAATATGGGTCGCCTTAGACACTGACCAGAGCCGGTCAGTCACTGGCGGATGGAGGAGAAAGAGAGAGGAGAGAAAGCGGGGGACAAGCGGAATTCCATTCACAGGAGGAACACTGTTACACAAATATAGGAGTCTAGGGATGCGGGAAGGGGGTGAAGGTAACAAGGAACGGCCATTGCTAGACATCTGTGGTCATTCTTTCTATGATCAGTACTAAACTGTATTCCGAAAGCCAGCTTCTGACCCATACCAGAGACTGAAAAAAAAAAAAAAACCATTAATTAGCAGACAAGCAAAGGATGCTGATAAAACAGAACAGAACCACTGGCAACAGGCAACGGAGCACGTGCTGGATAGCCTGACTCAAATCCCGGATGGGACTTCTGAGCTCCCTAAGCCTCAGCAGGCCACTCTTGCCAGTTGTGACCTCCTTTCCCGGTTTCTGAAAGGGGACGCACTCTTACGTTTGTGATGACCAGTAAGTAGGTGGCAGAGAGTTCACAGAACAATGGCTGTCACCGAATCAGCGCTTGGTACATGTCATCGGCACCATCACCTCCTGCTTCCACGGCCTCGGGGAAAGGTGATTTTCAGTGACTGGGGTCGTCCAAGGGGAAAGGAGCGCTCTTCCCTTCACCTGGCTAGCCCCCGCATGTGTCGGTCCCTCCCTCACCTACTGTTGTTTGATATTCAGGTCGTCTCACCGTGTCGCTCAGGGTGGCTTTGAACTTGAGGTCCTCCTGCTTCGGTCTCTCAAGCACTGGGATGCAGGCGTGCACTACCACACCCAGCTCCTCTCAATTACTTATCCTTTATTTCATTTTATTTTGGTTTTTCGAGACCACGTTTCTCTGTGTGGCCCTGGCTGCCATGGAACTCGCTCTGTGTAGACTCACAGAGATCTACGCCTGCCTCTGCCTCCCGAGTGCTGGGATGAAAGGCCTGTACCACCATCACCCAGCTCAATTATTAATTCTTAAACTACAAAATCTTGTTCATTCCAAATAGTTTACCTAGTAGCCAAGTCTCAGCGTGAAACACAGATTTCTAAATCTTCCCCCCAAAACTAGGATATAGCTTTAAAAATAAAATCTACGTCATGGAAACCTTGTGAAAGCTCTAAGAAATATAGTCTTTAAATACATGTGAGAAGATACAGGTGGCCTGAAAAATAATGGACCAACAAGAAGTGCCATTACCATGAGGCTATACACACTAGGAGTAATCTGCATTGCTCCATTAGCAGGCTGGAGACCACACCCTACCGTCCTCTGTTAGAATACTGTTATCTCATCCGCTGTGATCAAACAGTGGAAGCAGGGGACTCTGTGCCCATTATTTACCTGCCTGGGGTTTTGTTTGTTCAGTGTGGGGCTCGGGGAGGCAGTACACACTTGCGTACAGGTCTGTGCCTGCACCAAAGCCAGACTCCGCACGATTCCCTTGAGTCAGGGTCTCTCACCGAGCCTCTAAACTGGTAGCCAGCAAGTTCCAGTGACCCTCCTGTCTCTGCCTCCCACAGCAATGGGGTTACAGCTCAGCTTCTGGGGAACTCATGGCCTGGAGGCTGG